AGACGGCTGACAAATTTTTAGTAATATATACGAATTCCACAGAAGATTGGAGTTTTTCAGACAACGCTCTAGAACGCCTTAAAAATCTTCCAAACAACTTACAAAACAAATTTTAGTTTGTTATTAGTCTTGTATATTCTGTATAACAGTGTGTGACCCCCTTTTTAATTGAATTAATTCGATTGATTAATTCAATTCAATTTTCAACTCGAAATTAAACACAAGACAAAAATTGCAATTTTTTGTTATCTAAAAATTAATTTTTAGAATGTAAATCACAAAGCTTGGAGCTAACGGAAGGCTTGGCTTGTAAATTCAATTTCGCTCTTCAATGCAATATTTCACATCTGAGAACGCCCAGCAGGGAAAAGGAACATTAGACTAAAATAGAAGAAGGCGATTTCCATCCAACATTCGTTGTAGAGCTAAAGCTATATGCGTGTCATGCTGTTTTACTACTTCCTAACTTCAGTGAGACCTAATGACTCCACATTTTATTTTTAAAAAAAAGATGCTGCTGTCTTGAAGATCCCTCTGCAAACTAAATTGAAATTCAAGTCAAAATGTCAAGTAGAGGAACGACTTGCGTAGATCAACGGAAGATGAAAACAATACGGATGAAAGATGAGAAGCGAATGGCATATGGGAGCTAGCAGTCGCATGATGTTGTATAAGTTCGCTTATCTTTGAAATGGGAAAGAAAATGTGAAAGATGATAGCAGTATATTTTATGGAAGGTGGATCAACTGGTGGATTGCGGGTTCGATTAAGCTGACTTACAATTTTATAGTGCGGTTAGTATCCTGACAGTAGCCTGACCATGGACTAGATACATGAGCCATATCTGCTCACCTTCACTAATGATCCAAGAAATGGTAGACCCTCACCTAACAAAGTCTGAGTAACTGAGTGTCCGAGCAGCAGGCACTGTCTGTGACTTTTCCGCACACTGGAATAATGAAGTTTGAGAAATATAAGGTCCATAGAAGGACGAAATACCTCTGGCTTCGTACATATATGCTTTTGGTATTAGGAAAAGTGATGAGGAAATTTTCCCCA